AAATACTTATTAATTGGCCCTTTTTAGAAGATATTTTCCAACCCTTGGTCTGGATAGCCACTTTGGACCTAATTCCTTTGATGGTTTTGTTTTATTTTTGGCTCTTTTGCTTTTCAAAAGTTAAGCTCTCTAAGTTTTCTTATCCTGTTTTTAGTGCCAAATCATATTAATAATGTTGTTGAAATAGGTTATTTGCTTTCGTAACGGTGATTTGTATGTGTTTTAGTATCAGCCTGTAATCAGAATGGTTGGTTATTTAGTTAATAAGCTGTTAGGGAATTCCTTTGGTTAGCAGGTGGAATGAAAAGGAACTAGAACCCATGGCATACTCTGTATTTTAGGGCTTCTTTTGTACCTAAGCCCCTAGTTGCTTGTGATAAGGTATTTCTTTACTCAAGTAGTTTATGGTTTTGTCTTTGGTAATCCTCACCTTACATTATAGGGATTTTTGCACGAGAGCATGGATCAAATAAGAAATTGGCAGCACAATCTTGTGCCCTGTCACTTGTCAGACAACTCTACCATCTTGGAGTGATTGAAGCTTACTCTGGACTTACAAAGAAGAAAGAAGGAGAGAAAGTGAGTCTTTAGACTTTAAATCCCAGTGAAGTATTTTAAGATTCAGTTTAGCTTTTTCTTTAGTATTTGGCTAAAGAAATTTAATTTATAGTCCTAGGAATCTTACCTCAAGAAATGAAAATGGCCCTGCTAATCATCTCTGTGGCTGGCTTGATGCTATGTTCATGAGGAGTAAATAATCATGGAAGTAGTTCTCTCACTGAAGTAATTGACTCTGGGTTTAGGAATATTGAAGACTTACTGTCAACTGTAGACTCTTAGCTCCACTGTAGTAGATTTGAGTAGTATATATGTGTTAAATGATTTTATGGTCATCCTTTTTCTGTAGGTGGAGCCTTACAAAGTTAACCTCTCTCACGATTTAGAACATCAGCTGCAAAACATCATTCAAGAGTTAAATCTTGAGATCGTGCCCCCAGTAAGTCTACAGCTATTTAGATCACCTTTGATTAGAACTTCTCTCTCATCAGACAAGCAACTCATACTACTTTTTTTGTTTTTATTTTTTAATAGCCCGATGATCCTTCTGTGCCAGTTGCACTCAACATTGGCAAATTGGCTCACTTTGAACCATCTCAGCGACAAAACCAGATGGGTGTGGTTCCTTGGTCACCTCCACAGTCCAACTGGAATCCTTGGACTAGTAGCAATATTGATGAGGGACCCCTGGCTTATGTGAGTGCAACATTGTTTTTGAGATCAAACTCTTGTGTTTTATTCTTGTAATGTATTTCATTAGTATGTATAGGTAAAAAAAATGGATTCTGTTTGAAGCTGAGTTATGTGCATCTGTTTGACTATTGCCTTCCCATTTTATAGGCCACTCCAGAACAAATAAGTATGGACCTCAAGAATGAATTAATGTACCAGCTGGAACAGGATCATGATTTGCAAGCAGTAAGTCTGTGAAATATTTAAACATATGGTACCCAGAGCTTCAGGTATGGTCAGGTATGGTTCTAGGTATGTCAGAAGGAGAGTGAATAATCTATTTTGTCTTTTTTTTTTTT